GATAGGATTCAGAAATCGCCATGGAAGCAAACCTCTGGGCATGTGAGTGAGAGACTTTCTACCTTAGGTTCATTACGGTGGCAATACCCACCCTAACATGGGTGGCACCATTCCATGGGCTAAGACCTGGACTGAATTCAAGGGAAAGCAGACATTATTCATTACTTCCTGACTGTGGACAAGATGTGATCAGCCACCTTCTTCTCCTGTAATGCCAGTTTCACAGGACCCTCAGAGACCACCAATGCAATAGCAAGAGAGCTTTATTACGAAAGTGATCAAACTCGGGACCCAAGTCTCACTGACGCAGCAGTAGAGAAGTGGGACCCTGAGCCCTGAGTGAGCAGGATTTTTAAAGGGAAAGTCTGTGAGCAGGGGATTTCCATGACAGCAAGCGGGGGGGGGGGGGGCATGCCTTGATGTTACGGGATTAGGTAAAAGTTAGAGGGCCGAGGTGACCTCTGAATCACAATTACCTCAGGCATATGCCTCTCTGAGGCACAGTGGCCTAAGACATATGATCACAATGGCTATTCTTTTAAACTATATCTGAAACGTTGGGGAGATTTTTCCTGCCCGATTCTCAACCGATTTTCATTGATTATTGCCAGGGAGATTGTCTCTATTTCCTATGAAGTATTTATTCTGTGATATTTCCTGGAGGTTGTTGCTAGGAGAGTTAACTTTGTTTTCTGCCAGCTGCACATTTTGTGATATTTCCTGGTACCTGAATTCAGCTCCCAGTCAAGATCTTTATTTCAAAAATAGAGTTATACCCAAGCTAACTATACCCAGGCTAACTTAAACTCTTCACTCCTGCAGCCAGACCAGCCCTGCTGTGATGGACTGTATCCCCTAGAACTATAAGCCAAAACAAACTTTTCCTTCCTGAAGCTGCTTTTGTCACAGTGATAAGACAAGTAATTAGTAGAGAAAAAAAAGTTTATTTTTCTGTTTATTTTTAAGACAGGATTTCATATAGCCCAGGCTGACCTTGAACTCACTGAATAGCTAAAGATAACCTTCAGGACTGGCTGCAAGATACCTGATAAAACAGGATCAGATGAATGGGGAGGAGGTCCCCCCTATCAGTGGACTTGACAAGGGGCACGGTGGAGAGGAGGGAGGGAGGGAGGGACTGGGAGGGAATGAGGGATCAGGACACGGCTGGGGTACAGAGTTAATAAAATGTAACTGATAAGAAAAAAATAAAATACAAAAAAAATAAATAAATATTAACACTCAAAAAAAAAAAAAAGAATCTGAAACTGGAAAACAAGAAAAAAAAAAAAGATAACCTTCAACCTCTGACCCTTCTGCCTCCTCCTCCAGACTGCAGGGATTACAGACATATACCAAGCCTGTTTTTATACAGTGCTAAAGACTGAACTCAGGGCTTCACAACAGGTTCTCGAACCTGCCAAACCATATCCCAACCCAGAGAAGTTTCTAGGGATGGGGAGATGGCTTAGTCCATACAGCACTTGGCTCGGAAGCATCAAGACCAAAGTACCACACACAATACCAACATTTTGAAAAAGAAAAAAAAGCTGAAAGATGTCTCAGTGGGTAAAGCATTTGCCCTACATCCTAGTAATATGAGTTCCATTCCCAGAACTTGTGTGAAAGTAGAGAGAAGCCATATGCAAACACATGTGTACACACACACACACTATATTCTATATTACATAATAATTATATAATCATATGTTAGAAAGCTGGGCACAGCGGTGCACCCCTGTAATCCCAGCACTCAGGAGGCAGAGGCAGGTGGATCTCTGAGTTTGAGGCCACCTGGTCTACAAAGTGAATCCAGGAAAGCCAAGACTACACAGAAAAACCCTGTTTTGAAAAAACCAAATGTAAATAAATATGTTATGTATTATATCATATATATCATGCGTTCACATGTGTGTGCATATGGCTTCTCCTACTTTGATATGAGTTCTTGGAGTGGAATTCATGCTATCAGGCCTATAGAAAATTTTATATATGACATATATTATATGTCATATATATGATAATATGTGTACACACACACACACACACACATATGTATGTATTTTTTTTACACACATCTCCCGGTTCTGGGAGGCAGAGACTGGAAGATCCCTAGTGCTCACTGGCTAACCAGTCTGGCATTCTTAATGACTCCCAGACCAGTGGCTGGCACTGGAGGCACAGTGCCTGAGACAGTCCTCTAGCCCCCATACATACATCCACAGCTACCGAGCACACACACACGTGAACACACACAGCGTCTAACAACAACACTGGATGCTGAAGACTTTTTAAAGCTATGTTTTGTTATAGATTTAACTATTACTAGAGCCTTGAACTTGCAGCAAAAAGACCATGAAAATGAGTAAGTCTGTAGAGCAAGGAGTTTCTCAGGTCTGCCACATGCTAGAGGGTCTGAATCGTAATGTTTAGAAGTGCACAAAAAAGGAGAGTTCTGCCTTACTCTTTGCTGAAGCGCAGCACAGCAATGCCAAGATACTGGTATTTTTGCCTGTGGTTTAGAGTGTGTGTGTGTGTGTGTGTGTGTGTGTGTGTGTGTGTGTGTGTGTG